TGTGTGTGTGTGTGTGTGTGTGTGTGTGTGTGTAATGGCTGATTTAAGAGAGCAGAATGTGGATGTAAAATTTTGTTTCCTGCTCAGGAAAATGCTGCAGAAACCATTGTGATGTTGAACACAACTTTTAAAGATGGCACTCCAGGAAAAACTCAAGTGTATGAGTGGTTTTCTCTTTTCAAAAAAGATGAAATATCAATTGATGGCAAACCTTGTTTTGGACATCCATCTACTTTATGAACAGACAAAACTGTTGACTTGTAATGCATTTGGAGTTCGTTCCACCAGGTCAGACTGTTGATTAAGCTTTCTATTTAGAAGTTCTGAAAAGATTGTGTAATAGTATGTAACAACAACAACAACAAAAAGCCTGATTTGTGGCAGAGAGGAGACTGGTTTAGCCACTATGACATTGTACCTGTTCACGCAACCATCTCAGTGGGCTAAGTTTTGGCAAAAAACAGCATGCCTCCCTTGCCCCACACACCTTACTCACCTGACCTCACTTTTTTTTGTTTGACTTCTTTTTGTTTTCATGAATGAAGAGGGACATGAAAAGACAGCAATCTGACAACATGGAAGAGGTGAAATAAAAATGAAGGAGGTGCTGTCAGCCATCCAAACAGATGAATTGGAGAAATGTTTCCAAGAATGGAATCACAGATTTTACAAATGTATTAAATGTAATGGAGAGTACTTGGGAGGTGTTAAAGTTGTTTTGTAAAATAATTTGCATACCTAGCTTTGAAAAAAAATCCATTTGGGTGAGTCACCCCTTGTAATACCTTTGTCAAAGTCATATGCTCAAAAAGCTAACACTTAGGTCAATGCATATAAACAACGCTGGTTTCACATTGGAAGCATGTATTGAACCTTTGGTAACATTAATCAAATGTTATTCGTGCCCCTGCGGCATATGCCTAGAATTTGACTTTAAGCTTTACACATTTTTTTATCTTTGTTTCAGAATGTTTAAAAAGAAGGAATTTTTCTGAGATCCTATCTCATGTCCTCTTGCTCTCAAGAAATAGGAGGGGGAAAACCCTCCACATTTTTATCAAAAGTGAACAAAGTCTCAGGATTTGACTTCTGGGAGAGCAAGAAGAAAGAATTGTGGAAGTAGAACTTTCGATACAGTTATATTTCAAGTGATGAGCTGGAGTGGGAAGTGGGGAACGAGGGTTCATGGTTTCTCATCTTTGCCTGTTAACATATTTGGATTGAAAAAATGAAAATATAAGTTATTATGCTTAGGGGGGGCCCTTCAAAAATTTTAGTTTCATAACACAACAAAACTCACAATGTCAAGGTCCTGCATCAGAGAGATTCACTCTCCTCCAAGAAACATAAGTTAGAAAATGGGAAGAATTCAAGTTTTCACAATCATACCAATTAACTGTATAAAAGTAATTCCAGTTTGGGTAATAAAATTATTTAAAAGAACCCTGATATGCTAAGAATAAGGAAAGACAAAAGCTCTGTGTACCATGCAAGGGACAGTAAAAAAAGTCAGAGAGCTGAATCTCTAGAGAACTTTTTGTCGCTGTCAGGCCAAATGGTATATTTCAACCTAAGACTGATAATATTCCACAGCAATGGTGGGAAGGGACACAACCACCCAAGACAAAAATGAAAGACTCTTGAAGCCAACAATGTGAGCATGTTCTTATGACCCTTATTGCAGGATGCCATCATATTTCAGTACTCGCCTCCGCTGGAAGGAGCCCTGGTTGTGTAGTGGTTCCACGTTGGGCTGCTAACTGCAAATTAGTGGTTCGAAACAACCAGCTGTTCCTTGGGAGAAAGGGCTTTCTACTCTCATAAAGGGCTCCAGTCGTAGAAACTCACAGAGGCAGTTCTATCTTGTCCGATAGGGTCATTATGAGGTGGCATTGCCTTGATGGCAGTGAGTTTTGTTTTTGTCTTGAGTTAGCCTCAAGTGGAAAAAAGCCAGAGAAGGCCTCTTCAATGAGATAGGAAAGAGGTGGATATTTTCTTATTTCTTTTTCATTCTTTATTAACCTGACACACACATAATCAAACCAAACCAGAGCAAAAACAAAAATCAACGGTTGCTGAGCTGATTCTATCACATAGTGATTACACAAGGTAGGAAGAACCCTGCAGGGTGACGAAGATGCTCATCGTCATGCAAGCAGAAAGCCATATCTTTCTCTTAACAAATCCTCTGGTGTGTCTGAGCCACCAATTGCTCAGTAGCCTGCCATTTAGACTTTGTTCCACTTAAGCTCTTAATAAAGGGATCAATTTATTAAAGGTATAATGGCGTGGGCACAGGTTTCTTAAGCTAAATTCCAAAGCCCTCAGCTTAGGGAAGTTCTATTTAAATGAAAAGAAAAGTTTGATTTACGGATGTTTTGAATTTTGAGTTCACAAAGACACCATCTCTAAGATTCTTTTAAACCTTAGCTGCATGCATGTTGGCTCTGTAAATGAGGTCAGGGATGGTTCAATGCCTGCCTGACCTTTTAAGACCTACATAAAAATGTATGGGCTCTTTGGTCAGACCCCATGCCATGGATTCCTTTCTATGGTTTTGTCCTGAGATGGCAAGTTTTATAGTTACTATTAATTCAACTCTGTGACCTCAGAATAAATTGTAAATTTTCAAACAGTAATTATTATGAGTTTTTTTTTTTAAGTTTCAAAACTGTTAGACTTACCTGATAGTGATTTCTAAGGGATAG